ATACGCAAGGGCTCTCCTCGGGCTTCCAGGCTCCTGCGAAGAACGTCCGCTGGGAATAAGGATGGGCGCTCCACGGGCCTGTGGCTCTAACGCGCTGCCCCTCCCCGTAACAGCCCCCCCTCTCCCGCGCATTTGCCCATAAGTGAGAAAGGTGCGACAGCCCGGGAATGAGCAAGCAGGGGCCGAGCCGGGCGGATAAAGGGGGCTCTGTTGCTCTCCTCCTTGTTCTTGCGGCTGCTCCATTCAGGCTCCGAATTCAAATGGCTCTTTACAGCCCAGCCCAGCTGAACGTGGCTCAATGCCTGAAAGCGGCCGGGCTGCCTCCGCGGACATGCTCTGCGCCGCCTGATATGATAATTGTCATAAAGCGCTTTTATGTAGCGCCAGCCTCCTCCGGTGAGGAGCCCGCAGCGCGGCTGAAAGAGGCTTTGAGAGACCGGGGAGCGAGGCTGCTGAGAGCGGCGAGCCCCCCGCCGGAATGAGTGGCACCAAGTGCCCCGGCCAGGGCGCGTCTTCTGCCGCAGCCCCTTGTCTCCGCGCCCTTCCCCTGCGCCTGATTAACATGCACAGGCAGTGCGGAGCGCAGAGCCGGAGCCTGCTGCAGCCCTGCGCCGAGGGGAGCTGGCCAGGGGCCTGAGGTAACAGGCTCCGCCAGTCTCCAGCACACGCGGAGCAAGGGCTCAGCCCAAGGGCGCCTGTCCCCTGCCCTGGCTGCAGTGTCCGCGCGCCGAGCCAGTCTGCTGCGCGCGAGCTTGGGGCAGGGCCAGGCCCTTCGGTACTTTCACACCCCCTTGCTCCGGCCCGCCAGGCAGAGGGGAGCGCGAGCTCTTGAGAAGTGACTGCATGCTGCACGCTCCCGGGCGATGCTCAGCGGCTTGTTGTTAGGACTAGGGGGCACAGCGGATCCACAGCAGAGCAGTGCCGGCCCTGAACGCACTTTGACACAACGCGGTTACAGCTCGGATGTTCGCCTTTGAAAGCTCAGAGTATAGGCAGGGATCTGACAGCGTGTACGATCCCCTATACCCACAGGATCAGAAACGCCACATACATGTTTGCAGGGTAGTTTGTAATGATTTGAGTTAGCACTGGGCGAATTCTTTCTATTTTTTAAAAACTCGGATAGGTTGGGACCCTGTATAAACATGTACGCTAGCAGATAAAGTATCCGCATTTTAATTAGGGGCCTTTTACAAATTATTCAGCTGAGGTTTATTGGCTCAAAGACTTTTTTAAAAAGTAGTGATTGTTTTTCTTACAAGTGCAACAGCAGAAGAATACAACCAAAGCAACCCAAACACCTTCGTGACGTCACTTGATTGTGTAATGTTAAATAATACTTTTCTCCCTAAAATGCTAGAAAGAGAATCTCATAATGCCCATTAATGGTGGCAAAGAATTATTTGCGCGTAGCACAGGATGAAAAATAGCTATTGCCAAAGGTATGAGTTTTAAAACACTAACCAGGTATTTTTACAACCAATGAAACCATTTTTGCTTTTAAAAATGTCCTTAAATATGTTTGTCCAACAGATGGAAAAAGCCCCGGGAAAACAAAAGAAGCAACAATCCAACCACGCAGATAAAATTCAAAGCTAAGGATGAACATTGAATCTGACACCTTGACTCTCATAGCCACCTCCAGAGCCCCACTCTACCCTTGGAGGCATGTGCTCAGCTCCCTTTGACTCCTATGGGAGCTATGCGCACAGCAGGCCTGAAACAAGTTCCTAGATCAGATGTATCGTGAGGTCTCCTCTGCCGAGCGCTTCGCCTTTCATCCAACCTGGACAGATTCTAGCCTTTGGTGTTCCCTGCTTCTTCTTGCAGATGCCAGTTCTTATGAGCTAGTGGCAAATCAGCAACACTTGAGATTAGAATCGGATTCTGCTATTGTGTCTGTTTATATCGCAGTGATGTCTACAGACGCCGGACAGGACATTGGACTAGGAGCTGAACTAGTACCTGTTTGCAGGTGTCAATCATCTAACACATATTGCAGCACCAAGTCCCTTTAATGTAGAAGCGAAACTACTCTCCATCTTTACAACCCTCCAAATCACCCGAGTAAAAGGAAAGTCCTATGAAAGCTTTTCAAAGTGCGCTTCATAGACCTGTCGTTTCGTTAATAAAGCCGACATAGTCCGACCAAAACTGGGGAAGAAGAAAATACAGATTTTAGAATAAGATTATTTCGTGCAATTGCGAAAGTATTGCCAACTTGTGTTTATGCACGGGGAGAGCGGGGGACAGCAGAAACATAGTGCAGTTTCGTGACTGTTTTGGGGGGAAAGTCTCGCCTGAAGATAATGCATTAGTGTTATAGACAGTTTGCAATAGAAACTACAACTTGTTTTCTATGGTGTCCTCTAGTTCTGATCAAAGTAAACATGTAATTACAGAGACCTCCTTTGACTCTCTACCTTGAGTCACTTTGTAGAGTTTAAATAGTTGGTGATTAATACAGAGTGTAAACGACTGGGGGACGAGATTCTGGTCTCAACCCTGCCGCAAAACTCTATTGTCTTCAGCTGTCTGAGTAAAGACTGCAGGTTCCAGGTTTTCCCATTGTGTTTTGGCTCAGCCTTGTTCACAGCTCCTATGTCAAATGTGGGTGTTGGAGAGCGGAGGAGCTGAGGAAAAGCATAAGCACAAATACCAGCACTGGGACATTTGGGTTCATTCCGATCCGTACAAATCTCTCACGCTTTCCTGCTCATACAGGCAGCAGAGCTCAGAGGATCTTTTTTTCTCGTTTCTTACACTTACTCCCCCACCTCCAACAATGATGCCTTGGATTTTACTTGAGCGTTTCAGGAAAAGAAAGCGAACAGTCAGTAGCTCCAGGAGAGGCCTGATCCTGCTCACGCTAAAGTCAATAGCAAAACTCCCACTTACTTTAACGACCTCGGTATCCTCGCTTGGCAAAGGGCGCAGGGGAATGTTCTAGCGCCTGTTCTGTGCATGGCTCACAAGAGGGTTTGCTTGAATGTTGGCCTGGTTAGAAACAAGAAACCCAGTTGCCTTTATTCCCCAATTGGCAGACACATATACATAATCCGTCACGTGGAGGGATGTACCCGCGGCACCACACAATGCTTTGTAACCCAGTCTGTCCTGCAGTGCAAAGTCACCGCTGATTTTAGTGGGAGCTTTTATTTAGCCCTTTCCACAAATAGCAGACTTGTTGTGTAGAGTGGCACGTGGTTTCCAGACAGCTTTGAGGGGCAATGCGAAATATTTGATAATACAATATTTTGAACTATCCAGTTGCAAAAAGTACAGATAAAATATTTCTTAATTTGTGACTGAGGGGGATCATTTTTGTCATGCTCAAATCAGGGAATGTTACCGAACTTGACATAAAGAGTCGCCTTACAGATGAGAATAATTAGATACTTGGCCACACCAGGATTGGCTTATTATTCTGTTTAAAAGATAGTGCCCCCATATGAAGACGCGATATCCATGCAGCCCTAGCGGTGGAAAATCTGCTTAGCCTTTTGGCAAACGCCAAACACCGGTGAGTGGAAATGGAGCATTTCATTTTTAATTTCGAACATGCCTTTAAAATGTGCCAGCCCTGACAATACAAATATTGTTTTCCTAGTCCTGAAACGGGGCCCATAACATAACCACCCTCCTGTCTTGAGTGTAATGAGACAGTGAAATAGCAGAGAATTTATGAATTTTTAACAAAAGTCTGGGTGATTTGGGAAGTGGAGTTTGAAAAGAAGGGGAGAGGCCCGCTGTGGCGACCCATCATAGCATTAACACTAACATTTCGGGAGAAACCTTTTCAGGGTTAGTTTAAAAGGACCCCTGCTTCAGCTCATGTTACAAAATGTAATAAATAGTAAAAGCAGCTTTCACCAGATGCAAGAGAGGAAGCTGAACATTGCAGGTCACAGGCTGCATTATCCATTAACTGAGTGATTTAGCACTTAGTGTTGTGGCGTTCAAGACTAGCGAGAAAAAAGCTTGAGGAAAACACCCTCTTTTTTGTATATTGCATATATAGGGCATAAAGCTGATGGAAGAAACAAGTGGTTTTCAGAGCTCTCCCCTCGTGGTTTTCAGAGCTCTCCCCTCATAATAATTAACCAATTGGTAAGAAAAGCCACGGTCCTTCATCGTTTGCAACCAATGAAAGCACATTTGAGGGGTTTTTTTTTAAACCAGTTCTTATTGGAATAAACCTCCAGTCCTTACTTCTCCAAAACGCCCATTGACTTAAGTAGGAGTTTTAGCTGCAGGAATAGGTCAATTTTATGCTATATTTATTAGATGGCACTTGGGTTATAAAATGCTATGTTCCTTACATCTTTAAATGCACGAGAACAGTTAAAAGTAAATCATAGAATTAAAGAACTTAAAGCAGAAAAAGACTCTTCGAGTCCTCTTCGCCACCCTACTGGAGTAATATTCCCTGTTCCCTAGTTGTAGGGAGAGTGTATACATAGCTAGTATGTAACCAACTAAGGACAGAGGCTAAGTGGCTGTATGGGACTGGAAGGGACCTCCAGAGGTCATCTAGTGCAATCCCTTACATTCATGGCAGGACTAAATATAGACCATCCCCAACAGGCCTTTATCTAACCTGCTCTTAAAAATCTCATATGATAGAAATTCCACAACCTCCCTAGGCAATTTATTCCAGTGCTTAACCACCCTGACAGGAAGTTTTGAGCTAAACAGCGATTCTGGTATTTAAGCCTTTTGTTGCTTGTTCTGTCCTTGGTGGTTAAGGGAAACAATGTACCTCCCTTCTCCATATAACTATTTTTTATGTTATTGAAAACAGTTAGGGTACATCTACACTACATGGCTATTTCGGGTTGTCTAGCTTCCTCCACTATAGAACCAGGGAATGGGAATCAAGAGACGTGAATTTCATTCCCGCTTTGCCAGTGACTTACTGTCTAGCTTTGGAAGAGTTTTAACCACTCCCGTGCCTGGGTTTCCCGTCTCTAGAATGAGATTCATTATATTTAACTTCCTTCCTAGTGCACCTTAACATCCATGGCTGGCTGTACGTGAGAGTTTATGCATGTTCATATGCACCGAGTAACTATGTAACGGAACAGCTTTATACATTGACAACCGGTGTTTAGTAAGCGGCAAATTGTACTGCCTCCATCATACTACATTCAATGCAAGGTGGTTCCCTCCAGAAAAGTTCAGGCCAGAAATATGGCGAAAAACAACAAACGCGTTAAAGCCCATCAGAGTGAAGAGCAGAAAGAGACTCAGAGAGGGTAGGTAGCCCTGTTAGTCTGTAACTGAAAATACAACAAACAGTTCTCCAGCACATTAGAGACTAACAAAAAATGTAGATGGTATCGTGGACGTTCGTGGGCACAACCCTGAAAGAGAGGGTGGGTTAAACAGAGTATGAGCGATGTGGAAGGCAGCAGCTAAACTAGGATTAAAATAATTTGTTTTACTGTGAGAAAAAATAATGGAAACGAGTATTTTTCCACTCACAAATCACTTTCAGTTAAGATTTCGAACAGCTCCCTGAGGGTTTGAGGCAGGTTGGTAAGACCCACTGAGGCTTCTTTTTCCGATTTGATTTCTTTCAGGACATCTCTTCATTCGCTTTATTCGATAGGCCATTCGTCAAGTTCAAGAATACACCCTGGGCAACCCCAACAGGTTGGTGTGAAACCCAACTTGGACCACATGTATCTAAAGTAGCACATGACAAATCTCCACCAGAGCACAGTTAAGCTTGATATGGGCTACCTATCACCTGCCTCGTTTTAGGATAAGAAGAAATAATCTATTGATTTCATCTCTAAAAAGGAACAAAAATCCGTGTCTGTACTTTGAGGGGAAACAAGCAAACAAATACGTACCACGTGGTAACTGGGGGTAGGTGGGGAGGGAGGAAAGTCAATTTACAATTGACAAGTATGTAAAGACATCTTCTAAACCATGGGAAAACATGTATAAATTATTTCGACTCACTGCATTCAAACCCAAGGAAGTGAATTACAAAACTGCACTTCTTGCATTGTTGGACTGAAAGGATATCTATTTATCATCTCATAAGACAGCTCGAATGATCTTTATCTGCTTTGCCCACATTCTGACCCAAATTCAGGGTTTTTATGGAAAATTGCAGTCAGTTTGATTGATGAAATCCAAAGATGTCTAAAATGGCACCAAAGATCTCCAACTGTGCAGACTCCAACCGCGGGCTTCAATGTTAGCATTGTTCCTGCAGAAAATGTTGAGAAAACGAGCAAAAGTTAGGGAATTTCTGTTTAAAAACTTCAAATTTCAATGACGATCCCAACCTATTATCCCTATTCACAGGGCGAACTGTGTGAACATAAAAGTATTTCCCACACATTGCGACAACCACCACCACCTTAATTGTAAACCATGCAGTAAGCCTCCTTTGTAAAATGCCGAATAACTTCCCAGGACAAAATAGCAGGTCGCGCTTAGAAATAAAATATTTAAAGCAGACGAAGAAGAATTGTGCAAGTTTAAAGGATATAAAGGAACAAAAGAAAATATCTCCTACGCTTTATCTCAGAAATAAAATATTTTGGACTCTTAATCCCAGTTTAGTTTTAAAACTAAACATATGACAAAATTTAGTGATCTACGTGTTAAAGCAGACAGTTTTCTGTAGAAAACAGCGTCCTTGAAGCGTATTCTCCACAAAATCCCCCCTTCTCAGAGTAGTATTGTAAAATAATGCCTGTTGTAATGTAGTTGGCAATACGTTTAACAACTGCAAACTTCCTACACAAACGAGAGCACAGTTCCTTTTGGATTACACAACAACTAAAGGGAAGCAGCTACAGCGCAGAGAATCTCAGTGTTATTCAGTGACAGATTTGTTTGTCTGGGACTCCCCTGTCTTCTTTAGGGCTTTGCATTATTGTGGAATATTGTCACCTGCCTAATTGTTCTAAATGGCCACCTCCTATTATTAATAACAGCTGGAACGTGGCTCCTAGACATGTTACCCAAGCTGGGAAGCTGATGAATAAAACCCCTACTAGGGCAAAATCTTGGTAGCTGTCTTCTGTCCTATTACCCAAGGGGGCCGACTATAAATCTTCCTTCATTTTAACCACGTTTACTCTTATACTCCTCCAGGCTAGGGATGCTGTGTTAAGATTGCACTGATGTGCCAATGCTTTGGACCAGCTGCTCCTAAATACAGACAAGTCCTTGTCAATTAAGCCATTGAGGAGCAGGTCCTTGGAGCCCTGGGGCATTTTAGCAGCCAGCAGTGTGCAGCCCCAACAATTAGTATCCATTTTGAAGGGACCTCCGGGGCACAAATGCACAGGCAGGGAAGAATCAAAACACCAGGCAACTTCAATTCTGGAAATTGGTCACATAATGATACTGAGCAGACCGGCCACAAGAAGTGAGCCAATCTTTCTTGGGCAGGCCATTTATTCCTTTACATATTCTCTCCATCCGCCAAGCTGGATGGCCGAGGCATGCAGTAAAGTGTTGAATTAGGAGAGATAAATGAACACATTCATTTGCCTGTGTGAGCTGAAGTTTCCTTGGCGGGTCTTCTTTGTAACTCGGTGTCACCTCAAGCAGCTGGTGGCATGCAATGCTCCCATGAGCCTGGCCTTTGGCCCAGGACGAGCTGGACAAGGCAACCCGCTCCAAGGAGAAGAGCTGCGATGTCTCAGGTCAGAAAGGCCAAGCTGCCAGTAGGACAGGCAGAGCATTAGGAGTTCAGCTAAACAAAACCCGAAAGGGATTAGGAAGCCTAGGGGATCATTAGGGAAGGTGTTTGTTTAAGTAATTAGGAAGTTGGTAGCTAGGGGGGGAAAAGGCTTGTCATACAAGGCACCTCATCAGAATAGCAAGGTTGGTAATGCGGAGAATATCACAGCACAAGACTATGTGACCCTACCAAGTTCAACAACAGAGCAAACAGCACATGCCATTAGGGACAGCAGTCAACGGGGAGGTAACAAAGAGGGGAGGGCACTGGAAAAAATGTTTCAGTATTAAATATGGAAAAGTATGGAGACAGGGGCCGAGGGTCAATAAAAGTCAACAAGAGAGCAGCCTTAATGAGAGAAAGAATTTAATATCAAGAATACATAAATCTGCGTGGGAGGGCAGTCTCAGAATAGACAGAAAAGAAGGCAGGGTTGGAGTCAACATTCACTTGGTAATAGCGCCCTAATAGCTAGGGACAGGTTATTAACATTGAACACAAAAGTTAACAGGAGAATAAAGGAATAAAAGGGGGTAGCTCCTTTAATTGTAGACCCGCGGGACGATTTCCATATGCCACATTAAATGGATAACGCCAGGTCCGCCTTACAAGGGCTCTGATGGGACTTTTCAGAGGAAGCTTCTTTTCTTCATCACCTTTTTTCTTCGTCCCCCTTCCCTTCCTATAGCTAGGCTCCGAGTTGTCCAAAGGACAGAAACAAAGATCTTGTTTCAACAAACGTTGTATGGAAAGCCGTAACCCCGTTCCTATATTTTAAAAGGCAACGAAATAGAGCTAAAATAGCCAAATCACTTCATCAACAACTGTAACTAAGAAGAACTAGATCAAAGTGGAATCTTATTAAAATAAAACAGGCGCTTTTTTTCTTAATGAAAAGTGCAGTCTCTTTAGTAGATGTCACAATACAATGCAATTTCAAGGACTTTTCCCGTGTGTTTTAAGTATATATTGTTCGTTTATACCTTTAAAAATAAATCCCCACCTAGAGAAGTAGAGGGAGATGTTTGTATGTATTGCAATACGTCATCATTTTCCACTTCAGTATGAAATGCTGCAAATAGTTGGTCTGTAGTGTGGATAAACTATGTTTGCTCTTTTAAAAATTATTTCCTATTTGACTACTACGTATGTGCTAAATTACAACCAGGGCTGCATGCTCTGAGTGGAAGCTGTTGCATGCCAGGTATAGCATCCAGACGTGTTGGGCCAGGAGGAGAGAGATCGCTAAAGGACTCCAGATCCGGTCGGGTTAAAGTCTAGGCTTTTCGAAACCACAGGAACAAAGAGTCTCTGCCACACCTGCTTGTCCCAGTGTCGTGTGAAGGCGCGGCTGGCTTCTCCATGGTCGGGCCTGCACGTCTTCTCCTATAGCTATTCTGTAGCCTCAAGCAAACCAAATGCGTTTTGAGACTGTTCAGTATCTGCCTTCACATATATGTGTGTACGGCCGCCTCTAATAATCTCAAACCCTCCAGTGCAGGGACATCTCACGTGGAACAGATACGCCAGTGAGGTGGGGGGATACTGAAGTTAAATTGTTCCTCTGCTGTTCCAGATGTAGGGTGCTTAAGAGGGGCCAGACCCTTATTCCCTTGCGGGTGGGGCTGGGGACTTATTCACGGATGGGTTCCCAAGGAGAGACTGCAGATTGCTTATTCACTGGGACAGTAGGGACTGTAGAAATGGAGACTCACCAGGCGCTGGGCTTGATCCAGAACCCACCGAAGTGCATGAAGCAGCTGGGCTTTGGAGCAGGTGCTATAAACCCTACATGCAACTGACCTCAAGGGGGTGAGAGGGAGGAGTTATTCAGTCCCAGTTCTGGGCTAATCTCTCAGGATACCGAGGTGGCCTCCAGGAGGCTAAGGCTGGGCCGGTTTGGGGCAGTGAAGACGCCAGTGTGCCGGAGCAGAATCGGTTCTACAGTCCAAGTCCGTCTGCTCACCCGGGCTGCCGGGAGCCCTCGGACTGCACTCCTGGGCAAAGGCGAAGGCGTTGGGCTGCCAGGGTCCCTCCAGTGCTTTGGCCTGGGCAGTTCAGCCGCGGAGCCGGGCTACGCCAGGGGGGAGCGAAGAGAGGGGAGGGCAGATTTAGGGGAGCGGGGACCCGGACGAAGCAGCAGCTGGAGCAGGGCTGACCTAGGGACCCTGGCTGGGGCGCGGCGGTAGCACAGAAGTGGCTTGGGAAACAGCTCGCACTGTGGTCGCATTGGGATAGGTTAAAATGGCCGCTGGCTCACTCCAGCAGTGTCTCCGCGCTGGTTCAGGGGGTCACGCAGGCGTAGCCGCAGCATGGGAGTTATTTATGTCGAGCGGTTATTGAAAACTAACGCCAGCAAATTGCAGAGACGCTCCTCGGGGCCGCCAGTGGCCGAGGTCAGTGGCAGTCAGGCTGTCCGTCCGCTCGGAGACAGGAATTGCCCCAGGTCTGACACCGCGTCGGGGGCTCGCGGCAGCGCCATCCATCTCCAGCCAGTGAGCGCCGGGCTCCGACGGGACGCGGGCCGAGCCGGGCTCTGCCTCCTGGAGCGTAGGCGATCGCCGGCCAGCCCCGTTACACTGTGGGGCGGCGGCAGAACTGGGCACTCGGGCCTTATGCTGGTCTTAAAAAAGCCTTTGAGGTGCCTGTGTGGCAGAGGCCCCCGACAGCACCCCCAAACCGGGGAGAGCGCAAGAAACCCTTCCCGAACAATCATTTTATCGGAGAAGCGCTAGCAATAACATGGGCTGTTTTCCTAAATGAAATTCCTTTTCTTTCACTAAATAATAATTGACACAGGCTATTTCCCGCCTCATCAGATTTACTTTTACGAGTTTATTCCCCCCCCCCTCGGTTTTTCCTTGTTAGTCTCCGATCTGTCTCCCCTTGAACCCAACTCTATAATCCCCCATAAACCCTTATTATTAGGGAAATTCTTCCTCTCTGACAATTTAATAGTCCAAAGTAATCAGCTGCGTGACATCGCCCATCCATCTTCTCAAAAGAGAAAACAAAGGGGATGGTTTTTTCTCCGGGCCTCTCCAAATCCTTTTCTATTTTGAGAAGGGCTCCCCACAATGGGATCCTTATGAACCATAATGGTTATGTTTATGAAGCCAGCGATACCAGTGTATGAAGACAATTTTATGCCTAATTAGAAAATGATGTAACCGAGAGGGAGACAAAGAGGAGTTGTTTCCCATTGCCGGGGCCCGGGCCATCCCTCTTGGGCTAATATATCGCCTCGGATGGGCCTTACGTCCACTATTTTTCTAACATCCCAGCCATTAGCTTCTCGGACTGGTTAGGGTGTTGCGGACAGTTAGTGAAACAGCTCAATTTAGCGGGGCATGAAAGCAATTTTGTAACCCGTTCTGAAGGGAATCGCGGGGTAAGGAGAGGAAGGGCCCTCTCCGCTTCTATCCAAGGGGACCTCACCTCTGGGAAGACTCCAATAACTGCAACCCCAGCCCTGCTCCATTAAGGGATAATTTTTAATATATATGCAATAAATGTTCACTTTGTTAGGCTGAATGACAGACAATAATATCGGCAAATCTTCGTCTCCATCCATTACCGGCAAACGAGCCGCACAAAGGACATATTTGCTTTTGATTAATTTATTTGCAGACGCTGTTTGATAAAGCAATAACTATTTGGTTAAACTTGACATTTGGTCTTCGGGGGGTTATCTGACGAATTCCCCCTCGTTCTGGGGAGATAATAAAGATGTTTAAATTGGATTAATTATTAATTGGGTGCAATTAATTTCCTCTCTTTCTCGGCGATGACAAACAATGAGTATCGCTCCTTCCCAAACAAAAGGCTGCCTAAGAGCTCCTCAGCCATTACATTTTTTTCATTTATTTTGTAGATAGATGTCTGTCTGTCTATCCCCACCTAAATAGTCTCCAGGAATCTCTGCTCTTCCCTTATAAAAGGTTCAAATGTTTATAAGGCGTCGTTTATGTCCCAGGAAAACCCACTGCCCACAGTCTTTACAACGCCCAATTGGGCAAGGCTTTAAATTGGACGGGGGCCTTCATTCCTCCCTATGATGATAAGGAAGGAACCAGCTTCACGGAGCTCTGGGAAAACTTATCCCGAGTCCCATTCCCCCAAGTCCTTCCTTGCTCAGTGAGTGTGTGCGACCCATCTAAGCTCCTAGCCCCCATCTCTCTCCTGTGTCCTGCCCTGGGGGAGCGGCCTGAGCACCTGAGGACAGGAAGCCGCGCGTGGTGTGATGATAGAAACACCAGATTCGGGCCCTTTCTCCTCGCTTGTGGCTCTCTCCTTTGTGTTGCTGCTCGGGGAGCCCCGGGATGGGAATGTGAAATAAACCCAGAGGTGAGGCCGCCAGGCTCCTAGCAAAGGGCCCGGGTCGGAGAATTTAGCAAAAGACAAAACTCCCAATTCAACACTGGTGATGAATTGCTTTAGAGCAGGGAAGAGGGAGAAAGTTTTCTCTCTCTCTGTCTCTGTCTTTGCCCCCTGATGAATGGGCCCGGAGGATGGATGGTCCAGAGTGTGTTATATCTTCATCAAACTGTGAAACCCCTCCCTTTACTAATAATCTGTCACAACTTTACAGAACACACACTGAGACTAAAGGGAAGGCTCTGCCCTGGAGCCTTGTCAGGAAGGGCTTTATCCGGGCAGGAGGCTATGGAAAGGACAGGGGAGGGGGACGAGCCAAGCCAAAGGCTGCAGCGCTGTCAAACTTTCCCCCATCGGCAGGGACTTCAGCCTTCAGGGAAGAGAAGTTTGAAACAGAGAGATCCTGCGCCCACTGAAATCGCTGAGAGCAGGAGCTGGATCGGGGTTGTAGTAGCCCCCTCCACTATTCTTTGATCTGTAGTCTATTGTTTCCCTTCCAAAGCAGGAAAGTCTCTGGGTTTGCGTGACAATGTTGAATCCGTATCGTTCCATGCCAATTAGCCTTCGAACGTGGGTCACACATTGGGCGCAGAATCCTTCTCATTCTGCAGAAGGAAGGAGTCTAGTTGTGAGTTGGGAAGGGGTCTGCTGTGTATCTTTTAAAAGGCTGTACAAAGAGCCTTCTAAAAATATCCAAATTCAAGGAACAAAATCACCCGAGAAAACCGCTGCTTCGTGAGGAATGTTTTGTTCTTTGGAGGGCGGAAAGCAGGAGTAGAAGCAACATCTGCGCTCTCCTTCGTTGCAAATAGTATTTTATCAGTTTTACATTACGGCCGAATTAGACGTATCTTTGTTTCATTTTTATAACCACCCACTGGCGTGCTCACACATACGAATGGGAGTGAACAGAAATCCTAGCGGATGTAACGGGGGCATATGGGTGGTATAAATTTTTACAGTTTCAGGACTTGTTTATTTTTAAAAATGAGCCAATATGAGTATATGGATACAGGTTGTATCCCAGGATTTGGGCTTTAAAATGGATCACTATGAAGCACTGTGAAACGTGATCCGTAGTATTTCCTGGAGATCCATTAAAAAACCTACGTCCTGAAATATAACATATCTATAGCCACTGATAGAGCTACATAGATAAATCGATGGTTGGATCTACGAGAGAGGGTGTTTCTCCCATCTTACTTTGTTTTTCTATCTAATATCACCGCTCTATCTCGGGAATAGTTTAAGGCGCGAAACCGACGCAATGAAAGACATCAGTCTAATGCGGTTTGTCCTGTGGAAGCTGTTCATATTATGTTTTCATTCATCTCCTTTAAAGTCCAAGGAAATGCATTCATAAGATTGTTTCTTTATTTTTCCTTCTTCCCTTTTCTTACTGTTTGAAAAAAAAATCGCTTTCTTTGGCTGTTTGCTTTAGGGCTTTTCATCCGTGTGTTTCAGATAAGAAAAGAAACCAGGTTCTTTTATTTTTCGATTGGATCCGAATTCCTATTTTGGGAGCCTTTTGATGTCCCTATTTAGTGCCTTTGACTTCTCTTGTGAATGGCAGCCTTTTGTTTCCGTCCCACATGCCCTTTAAGAAATTCTCCTTTAAACGCCTGGTACCCGCTGATGGATCCGTTTTCAAATGGACCAGAAGGAAAAGGCGATGCTCGAGGGGCCCGTTTCCTTAGTAATTGCTCTCGTTTGGGTGAAAATGCAGATATTTTGTCTGATGTGGGCGGATTTGGCGCAACAACATCAGCAGGGGTTTAAAACAAAGATTGTCAGCTGCGATCGCTACACAAGTCAAGGAGCAACTTTGGCAGGGCTCGGTGCGAGCTAGCTGGGGAGCAGGAGGTGTTTAGGGCAACTTTGACTTAAAATATAACCCCCACCCGAGCATTACTTCTATTCCAGTAAGCGCAGTCTAATAGGAGACAAAGCATGTTGGCTGAAAAAACCGCTCGATCGGTTGAAACCTATCGAAGCGCCAGCGATTCCGGGCAGCGCCCAGTTCTAGAACTCATTTTCCTTTCCTGCTACAGGCCCATTGTCTGTGGTGCTAGCTTCCGAAATATTCCTTCTCGCTTCAGAAAGAAACGTGCCTTCCAAATAACCTGCCAGAGTCCCACCACAGAGCCCGCCGTCCCTTTAGCCAAAGCATCAAGAGACCTTTTAGATCCCCGCCACTTGTCAAGCACATAGATCACACGGAGCCCAAATCACTAAAACTAATATCGCTCACAATTCCCAAATATATATCGTTCAGACTCGTGCCCCACTTTGCCGGACTCGGTTCAATTATTCCAGCCCAACAAGACAGGTTTATCTACTGTCATTCGTGGGGCTTTGGTCCGGAGTTTTAGGTAAACAGATCGTAAGCCTATGGAATAGGAAAAGCACTATTTCTACTGAAGATCCTCTGAGAGAAGGCTAGTCCATATATTTTGTATATAAAACAAAGCCACATTTTTTGTTGTTGTCTATGAAAACCAATGCTGTGGCGTGGTGATATTCCTTGTCTTTCACTCACTTTTACCCACTCTTTTCTAGTGCCCCTTGTGCGACTCGGGATGCTGACGGATAATTAAATACCGAGAAAAATAGATGAGGCTGGATTGAAGATTTAAAAATATTTTTCTCCTCTACCCCGAGCAGCGCCAAGTATTTCAGGTTTTAATGGAGGAATGATATTTGGAGCTTGGAGGAAATAGAGGCCAGGTGGCCACTACCTGACCGAGCTATCTTGGCGGGGTACCCTCGAAGGGATCAAAAAGCGAAGCCCACACCTCTTGTTCCGTTTTGTTTGGCAAGACAGAGCCGTGGCCAGAGCGAGAGAACCGCTTTTCTTGGGGAGGGGGGTTTTCAGTAGAAGCACCATCTCCCCAAAAGTCCAGAAC